GTGGGGGCACATGTCTGTAATCCCAGCCACTCGGGAGGCTGAGGCAGGAGAATCGCTTGAACCTAGGAGGCAGAGGTTGCAGTGAGCCAAGATTGCACCATTGCACTCCAGCCCGGGCAAGAAGAGCGAAACTCTGTCTCAAACAAACAAACAAACAAACAAACAAACAAACAAAAAGTAGAACCTCAGAGGTTTCTCCTGAAAAGAAAGCTGCTAGATAAAAATGGTTTGGTTGCCCATTCAGGGAAGACAGTGAACTGAGCTAGGAATCTGATGCTGCTCCCACTTTAGAAAATGAGGAGGTATGGAAGGTGATGCACTGGGATTCAATGTCCTTGAAAACTGGACATAAAGCCAAAATCAAGTAACTTTTATTTCTGAGCAACCGGCCAAGTGTAGTCTGGCTGTCTAGTTAGCCTGCCCAGAAGATCTTTTTTCCTCCTTCTCTAGAGCAATGGTTCTCCAAGTTAGTCCTCAGACCTGCAGCCTGGACCTCATCTGCGAACTTGCTAGAAATGTACATTCTCAGGCCCCCAGCCCAGAATTCCTGAATCTGAAACTCCAAAGGTGGGCCTAAGAATTTGACAAGCCTTCCAGGTGACTCTGAGGTATACTAGTTTGGGATGCATTGCTCTAGGGGAATTCTAGGGGAGGAATTAGTAGCAATGTGTCATTCTTTACAGTCCAACGATGTGACAACAGGTGGTGACAGAATACAAGACCTTATGCTCTTCTGCTGCTAGGGTCAGTGACCAAGGCCAAGCATCAGATTTTCTTTGACAAGGGGGGAAACAAGATGTGGGAAATGAGTCAGGACAACTGGAGAAGGGGAGGAGGATGGTTAATTCTATGATCAAGTACCTCTATAAATACCACCAAACAAGAATAAGAGGTTTAGTTTTTTGAAAGGCTGAATAGCCACTTTTGCTTCTGCCCTATCAGATACATTGTTTCTCTGCAAATTGTCAAATGTATCCATTTGGCTACATCAAAGAGATCCTGAATTAACTCACTGCAACATTCACAAATATTTACTGAGTACTTACTATTTGGTCCAGAACTGTGCTCGTGCTAGGGACACAGCAGATGGGACAGAATCTTGCCCTAGTGAAAAGGCATAGAAAATATGCAAAAAAACAACACTTCAGGTAAGGTTAAGTGCTTTAGAGAAACAGAGCAAAACAAGAAGCTGTGACAATGACTGAAAAACTACATTGAATGGAGTGCTCAGGGATGGCCTTTCTGGGTAGCTGTGACCTGAAGAACAGCAGTCAGGCCCATGAAGATCTGGGGACAGAGCAAGATCAGAGGTATATATGATACCACATGAAGTCACGGCGGCAGGGCCTTGTGGGCCGTGGAAAAGGGATGGGTTATTCAGTAATAAGAGCAGTGGGAAGGGCTTTCTGAAGGGGAGTGGCAGTTTCTGTTTTATGTCTGTGAAAGATCATTCTGTCTCCTGTATAGAAAGTGGAAAGGCCAAGACTGAAAGCAAGAGGCTTTTTCCATCTTCCAGGCAAGAGAAAGATGGTTCTGGTTAGACTAGGATGACAAGAGTGGAGACAGAAAGGAGGATTTGGCATTTAGTTTGGGGTTACACCTACTGGACTTGTGACAGGGTGGATGTGAAGATGAGGAAAGACTACTACTCCAGAGGCCATTGCTATCTACCCACAAATAAGTTAAACAGCCAAGGCAGAAACAACAACAGACATGCCAATGGCTGAAGATGCTTGCAGGCCTACCTCAGAGAATAGGAAATGGGGGCTGGAAGAACTATCATCCTGGCCAAGAGCACATGACCTGAAGCAACACCGTCCCAGAGCACCCAGGCTCTGCACCTCAGGCTAGTCACTCATCTCCTGGCCTGTTTCCTCACCTTCACAATCGATACAGCCCTTCACAATGGTCTGCTGTGACAAGTGAGATAATGCAGTTAATACAGTGTCCAGCAGTTAGTTAACCCTAGGAGTGCAACTTAAAAAGAAGTTTGATGGCTTGCATGTAAATAAGGATGAGGAACTACTTTGTACATGCCATGATGGGGGTCCAAGCCCAAGAGCTGTAAGTTATTCAGTATAAAATATAAGCAAGAGCTTCCTTAAAAAAGGACCTCACTCTCCTTGGACAGCACATAACCCAGAAGAGGACAGACAGTGGCCAGAGATGCTATAAAAAGAGTTCCTGAAATGGGTAGCAGCAGACATTTCTTACTAAAGCCCTTTCTCTCTCCAAGATTAAACATTCCAAGACCTAGGAAGAACATATCCCTAAATCCATGCCTTTTCCTTTTCCTTCCTAAGGTACTGGAGCAGGCTGGGGAGGTAACGGGAGATAAAAATGCCTGGGCTCTAGTCTGAGCATCACCAGTTTCCCTTGGCTTTTGGCTCCTCCCTCAGTAATGTGGATGGATACTGCTCCTGGCTGGTGACCAGGCTGTGGAGAGTTAGAGGAGACAACATCACAGGAGAGTCAAAGTCCATGGGACACTCTAAAGCACTATCAACAATATAACAGTAATAATATTCAAATATTTACTTTGCCAAATGTGCTGCTCTGAACTTCATTGTGCCCCTTCAAAATTAAGCAGAGGATTCCTGACTTCATATTTTGTATTCTACTTTTATCAAATTTCTACAGAGCTACAATTTGGGGGGAGGTGGGAGGGACAGAGATATGAAGAGAAAAGAGAATGTGGTGGGGGAAATAGAGTGGTTTTAAGTTAATGTGAAAGGGGAAAATCATGATCATCAAAATTAACCTTGGTAATCCCTTAAGAAAATAATAGCTGGCAGCCCAGCGCGGTGGCTTATGCCTGTAATCCCAGAACTTTGGGAGGCTGAGGAGGGCAGATCATGAGGTCAGGAGTTCGAGACCAGCCTGACCAACATGGAGAAACCCCAACTCTACTAAAAATACAAAAATTAGCCGGGCGTGGTGGCGTGTGCCTGTGATCCCAGCTACTCAGGAGGCTGAGGCAGGAGAATTGCTTTAACCTGGGAAGCGGAGGTTGCAGTGAGCCGAGACTGCACCACTGCACTCCAGCCAGGTGACAGGGCGAAACTCCGCCACACACACACACACACACACACACACACACACACAAAAGCTTGCACTAGCCCAACAAAGTCAGTTTCCCCTCTATCACTGGGGCAGGCTACTATTTCTTTGGCTGAGCACAATATGAGGCTATTCTTTGAATGTAGGGCCCATGTTGTAAAAAAGGCACTTAATTACAATTGGCATAAGATGCTCACACAGTGAGACACAAGGGAACTGAGAAAAACTAAGGGACTGTGAGTTTTCATCCATTTCCAGCTCTCTCTGGGGAAGACCCTTGAATGGATCTCTGTTGCCCACATGGTTAAGGTTTTTTTTTGTTTTGTTTTGTTTTGTTTTGTTTTTTTGAGACGGAGTCTCGCTCTGTCGCCCAGGCTGGATGGAGTGCAGTGGTGCGATCTCGGCTCACTGCAAGCTCTGCCTCCCGGGTTCACGCCATTCTCCTGCCTCAGCCTCCTGAGTAGCTGGGACCACAGGCGCCTGCCACCACGTCTGGCTAATTTTTTGTATTTTTAGTAGAGACGGGGTTTCACCGTGTTAGCCAGGATAGTCTCGATCTCCTGACCTTGTGATCCACCCGCCTCGGCCTCCCAAAGTGCTGGGATTTACAGGCGTGAGCCACAGCGCCCAGCCTTATGGTTAAGTTTTTATAAGCCGAATGTGCATATGAGGCCACTCCGATGTATGCAAATTTAAAATCATGCCCCACCAGGGCTTACCACTCTGGCACTTACTTTCTGATTAAATGTCAGGGAAGCCCGTGGGCTGCTAAGTGAGAGGAAGGGCCTGGAAACCAAGGGCCACTATTTGATGTGCTGCAATCCTGGCCAAGGCAGGAGGAAGTCATCTGTCATAACATGGGGATTCTGAGGATCTGTGGTGGGCTTTTCACAGTTCCACCCTCTAAAACATATGTAGATATCACACATTGCAGAACCAAAGGAAGTGGGAAGGCGGTGTAGCCAAATGCTGAAAGCAGTGACCATAAAAAACTAAGTTCAGCCCTTACAGGAACTCAAAGGCTTCACAGCTGTTTCCTGGCAACCAGAAGCACAGATTAATCAAGAGCCTCACTCTAAACCTGACTAAGGAAGGCCTCAGGGCCCTGACCACACCTGGAAGACTTCTCAGGGTTAGAAAGCAGAGAGGCCTGTACACTCATTTTAGTTTAACCCAAGTAAGGTCTGCTTAGCACCCTGCACTCTTTTCACTGCCTAGGGACTCTTAGCACCCTGCACTCTTTTCACTGCCTAGGGACGAAGGTCAGATCTTGCCATACTCCTCTTTTTAAGACTCTTATTTATTCATTCAACAAATATTTACTGACTGCCTACTTCATACCAGATACTTGTTTGATGGCTTCCCCTCACACCAAGTCAAATCCAAAGCCATGTCTCTCCAACTCATCTCTTTAACAAGCCTTGCTTGCACACTAAGGCCTTTTATCCTGTTCTTTCAACATGCCAAGCTCAGTCCCACCACAAGGCCTTTGCACTCACAGTCCACCCTCTCTCCTGCCTGTGACACTGTAGGGTTGGCTCTTTCCATTATTTCCCTCAGTTGAAATGTCACTTTCTCAGAGAAGCCTTCCCTGCCCACCTCTCCAGACACTCTTTATCATATCACACAATTTCCTCCATAGCACTTACTGCTATCTGAAATTGTCTTATTTACCCCTTAACAGCCTTCTCTCCTTGACTCAAATGGAAGCTCCCAAAGGACACAGACTATGTCCGTTTTGTTTGCTATCCACAATGGGACATAATAGGCCCTCAGTAAATATCTGTTGAATAAACAGACAAAAAGAATTTTGGGAAGTTCATTTTAGGGCACCTCAAAGCCTGTTCTATGTTATCTAAACCATGCCAAATGCTCTTGTATTCCACTAGAGAGCAGCTGATATTTTATCTGATCACCATAGCCATTTACAAAGCACTCACTTTTTAACTGTCAGGGTCTCCAGAAGTTAGAATCGGGCAGCTGTTAACTCAGATTGTAGGTAGCCAACCGAGTGACTGCAAGCAGGGCTGAGCTGCAACAGCACCTTATTGCTGGCTACCGCCAGCACACTGGGCCCCTTGCTTCATTACGACCTGGTACGAGTGTTATTCTGGTGAGAAGTCTCCCCCAGCAGTCTGGCCTGACTCAGAATCTCTCTTCTGGGAGTGCCTGGGGCAGCGTCTTGGTAAATGAATTGACTCAGCACTGTTCCAGCTGAAATCAAAATCGAGTAAAAGGATTCATGGTCTCCGCTATGCTGCAAGAAGACCCCACTGTTTTAAATGCAAAAGGCAGCAGCTTCTGGTGGGTCACTTCAGTCAGATCCCCCATATTCAATTTCTTTTATTCTCACCCCAACCATCAGACAAGTATGGCTCCTTGAGACCGCAGAGGAGCAACATTGTAAAGAATTTCCCTCACCCTATTTCTCCTGGATCACCAATTCCTTCCCAACACTGCCCCTGCTGTGGCCTTAAATACCCCAATGACTGCCGTACTCAGGTTGGTGTCCCTGCAGCCCCACAGTGGGGAACACTGTGGTCCTGTTTGCTTCCTCCATCAGAGGTAACCCATCTTCACCCCATCTGAGAGAACCTCCTTGGCCAACTTCACTGCCAGGCACCCGAGGGTGCAGCCTCACCCAAGAGTTTCCATTTCATCTATTCACCTCCCTACTCCCATCAGCCAGTGGGGAACTTCTGAGCTGAACCCACATATTTGTCCCAATTATCAAAGGAGTGGATGAGAGTGAGCGTCTCCACAGAAGAGACACTTCTAGGATATGCTTCCCTCACTCAATTCAAAAAGAGGAGACTTCTCGTTTACAAGAAACATCTCTGGAACCCGACCTTTTCCACTAACTCATTTCAGGGGCTTCCCTCAGTTGAATCCCCACTCCCAAAGAGACATCCTCGGGATTCCCAATTCACCTGTTCTTCCTCATTCAATATCAGAGGCTTCCACCAATTGCCCCACTCGGACCTGTCCCCTGAAAGCGAAATTGGAGCAATCCATCTGTATCCTCGAATAGGAGACTGGTAATGATGGGGTCATTTCACTATCACTGCAATCAAGTCCCTCTGGCATCTGAATCCTTTCCCCCCCGCTCTCACTTATCATGCGGAGATTCCCTTAATTCTCCCCAAAAGCAGCCGCTCCAAGGCTCCTCCTTTCTAGTCAACACAGCTATTTCCTCGGCTAACCCCATCTCTAAAACTAACGCCGGAGCCGTCCCCTCAACCAATAGGGGATCCTCTCGAGTCACCCTCTGAGGATCCCGTTTCTTCCTCCCATCCAGCTTGAGGGGCTCCTATGATGTCCCCTCCAGACATACCAAGGGCCCCCCTCAGCCGCACCCCTGGCACCCAGTATGGGACTTCCATCCGCTGTGGGGCGCCTCCTCCCCTAGGGAACCCCTTGGTCGCCCCTTAAGAGTCGCCAGCCCCAGTCTCCTCAGGAGTGCCTTGGAGCTCGCTCCTCGCCCACTCCGGCTCCCCTAGGTAGCGCAGCGGGGCCCTCACGCCTCCCGGGGGAGCCTTAGGGCCTCGCCGCGCCGCCCACAGGCCCCTCAGCCCCCCGCCCGTGCTTCCGGCCACCGCCTGCTGGTGGCTGCAGCGGAGCCCACCGGACAGAGGCGGCGCGGGGACCCTGGCCCCCCTGCAGGAGCCTTTGAGAGTCCCCAGCCCCCGGCCCAAGCCCATGCCCCTTCGGCCGGCCGGGCCCGGCGCCCCCGCTCACCCGAGCCCGTGGTGGCTGCCATCTTGCGTCGCTGTTGCTTGAAGGCCGGCCCCTTCTTCACCCCCCACCCGTCCCCTGGCCCTGATGCGCAGGCGCGCGCGCACGCACAGACGCCGCCGCTGACGCCCGCTCCGGAGACCTGCGCGACCCGAGGCCGGGGAGGCTCTTTTCCTTCCCTTTTAGAGAAAGGAAATATCTGCGTGCTCGAGGGCTCAGCAACCTGCAAGTCCCCCCACATCGGGTGCAAGGGAGGTTGTGACGTGCTTAGTGAGAAGGGCAGGGGTGACTAGGCTTGGGAAGGCGCGATTGTGAAAGAAAAAGAAAAGATAGCTTCAAACAAAAGCGCCGAATTCACTTGGGGCTTTTTCCTGTCTAGTTCCTATCTAGATCCTCACCACATCTCCACAAGGTCAGAATTAATGTGAAAAATGCAGCCGAGAGAGATTAAACGATTTATCTAAACTCAGCTGTTAAGTGGCAGAGACAGACAGAATTTTAACCTCCAGGTTCAGATTTGAATTTGAATCGTCACCCTCCAGGTCAGATGATCTGGCTTCTAGGATTGATGCTCCCTGGCCAGAGAAGGCTTGAAGTGGGTGCAGTTAAATGATTTTGGGGCAATAAGGTGGCAGGGAAAACATTTGCTAACCATCTGCCCAATTCATTCATTCATTCGTTCGTTCATTCATTCATTCAACCAAACAAACATTAAGCACCTACTATGTACCAGACACTGTGCTAGGAGCTGGGGATGGATAGACATCTCTGAAGAAGCAAATCCCTGCTTTCAGGGGCTTACATTCTAGTCATAGACAGCAAGTAAATAAACAGGAAACTACAATTCTGATAGGCTAGAGATAAACCAAGAAAAGGGCAGCGGAGGATGGTCAGGAAGGGCCTCCTAAGGTGGTCGTATTTCAACAGAGATCCTAACAATGAGGAGGTAGAGGGAACAGCTTGTGCAAAGGCCCTCAGGAAATATTTTTGCAAATAAACCCAAGAAGTTACTCCTCCTATATTTTAAATTGTCTGAGAAGCCCTTATATGGATGTAGACCCTGAAGCTGAGAGAGGTGAAGGGACTGGCTTAAGGTCACAGAGCAAAATACTGGCAGAAGGACCAGGACTCTAAACATAGAGGGACAAGGAAGCTGCAAGCCCTCACCCAGCACATCCAATTCATCACCTTTGTCTGACAACAATGCCTACTCTGCATCTCTCCCGCTCCATTCACTTCTCCACTCAGGACAAGCTGCCTTTATCCCCTGCTTGGAAGACCCCAGCAGCTTCCATTCTCTCCCCCATGGTCCATTCTCCATATGGACCAACATCTGCTCAAAACACCCTCCAGCTAAAGCCTTCAGTGGCTCCCCATTCCCTCTGGATAAAATACAAACTCTACAAGTTGAGTGACCATAGATTATCACCTAATGAGGACACTCATCAGATTAAAAGAGGACCTATTATAATCTCACCAGGGCAAGTGGAAACCAGGGCTCTCCAGGGCAAACCAGGATGCCTGGACACCCTGTGTACAAGGCTTTGCATCCAGGGCTGGGACGAGGATGGGGCCATCAGATTTAACGGGGCTTTCACTCAGGACCTGACTCTGCACTTGTACAGCCCTGCAGGTGAGTGACTCCTTAAAATCTGCACCCTAGGGCAAGGCGTAGTGGCTCATGCCTGTAATCCCAGCACTTTTGGAGGCAGAGGTGGGCGGATCACCTGAGGTCAGGAGTTCCAGACCAGCCTGGTCAACATGATGAAACCTTGTCTCTACTAAAAATACAAAAATTAGCTGGGCGTGGTGGCAGGCGCCTGTAATCCCAGCTACTCAGGAGGCTGAGGCAGGAGAATCGCTTGAACCTGGGAGGCAGAGGTTGCAGTGAGCCGAGATCGCGCCATTGCATTCCATCCTGGGCAACAGAGAGAGACTCTGTCTCAAAAAAAAAAAAAAAAAAAAAAATTCTGCACCCTAGGTCCCCCACTTGCCTCATCATAGCCTTGGCACAGCCTGCGCCTCTGAGACTTTCTGTACCTCTGCAGCGACACTGGCCCTTTGCAAGCCCCCTGGAACGCAAGGCCTCTCCCACTTCAGGGGCTTTGCTTGTGCTGTCTCCACTCTTCAGTTCTCAGATCCAGCACCACCCCCTCAGGGAAGTCTTCCTCGATTCCTTCAACCACGTCAAATTCAGCTGTAATTAGCTCTCCAAGTGCCAGCACTGGCTACAGGTGAAGCAACTTGACTTTTCGTGTATCACGTGATACAAGTTTGCTTTGGGGAGCACGGAAAATACTTGCCCTGGACTTGGGGTCACTGTAAAGCATCAGTAGCAGGTGGAAGCATTTGGGTTCCTAAGGTGGACTCACATTTGCAGTAAATTTTCTAGGTTCAAGTCTTCCTTCATCACTCAGTGTGCTTTGTGACTTCAGGTAAGACGCTTGAACCTCTCCTGGTATCAGTTTCCCCTTCTATGAGGATAGCAGTATCAACCTCATAGGATTGCTGTGGAGATAAAATGCTTTCCTAAAACCCCTTGGCACAGGGAGGAGGAAGGGACACTAGAAGCGCTGATATTTACCAAGCCGTTACATCCAGCTTTTAATCCTCACAACTCGATGCAGCAACTCCTGTGACTATCCCCGTTTTAGAGATGAGAAAACTGAGACTCAGAGCTAACAGGTAGAGGATGAGGATTAAAACACAAGCCTTTTATCCATGATGCCCGTAAATGTCTACTCGCATGGATTCCTTGGCTCTTGTAGGAAACTTCTTGCAAGTAAAATTGACAATAATAATTACCGTGCAGAGCTCATCGCAGGAAGAGGTTAAGCGGGACAGCCCGGGGCATGCTGGTTATTGTAGGCTGGCGTTGACGCGGTGCCTAGTGGGAGTTGTAGTACGTCCCGCGCACACGCTCCCTCGAAGAGGCTCTGCCCCATTCCTGGACGTCACAACCGGTCCCCAGAGCGGGATTCCTCCCGGCGCCTGCGCCTGGTCGCCGCTGTGCGCTTGAGCTGATAAACTCAGCTGATGGGGATAAGAGTCTTGTTTTATCGGATTTTGGGGAAGATTAAAATGGTTAATAAAACTAGAGAATTTAGAAAAGCGCTTGGCACTAAGTGCAATATAAGTATTAGCTGCTATTATTATTTAATCCTCAATGACCCTTGCAAAGTAGCTGTTACCATTTCCATTTGTGAGATGAGAAAACTGAGGCTTAGAGGAGTTAGATGGCTTCTCCAAGGTCACACAAGGAAGGAGTAAAATCAGTTCTGGAATCCAGTTTTCTTTATCCTGTGTCACCTGCTGACTCTCCTGTGATGAGGGAGGTGGAGCCTGGGAGGTTTTGAGCAAAATGTGGGCAGGTTTGCCTTTTTGCAAAGTGCATCGTGCTGCCATGAGGAGACAGGGTGAGGACACCCAACTGGGCAGCAGCAATATTGGTGGCAGGGAACCCAGAGAGGTGTGTTGGGCACTGTTTACTGCCAGTCCAGTTGCCATGTCCCCACATGGCGGGGTGGGTGTTTGGAAACTTTGCCTCCCCTCATGAAAGCTGAAGAGAAGGTTGGGCGCCCTGGCTCACGCCTGTAATCCCAACACTTTGGGAGGCCGAGGCGGGCGGATCACCTGAGGTCAGGAGTTCGAGACCAGCCTGGCCAACATGGCAAAACCCCGTCTCTACTGCAAATACAAAAATTAGCCGAGAGTGGTGGCTCATGCTTTTAATCCCAGCTACCTGGGAGGCTGAGGCAGGAGAATCGCTTGAACCTGGGAGGCAGAGGTGGCCGCAGCACTGCACTCCGGGCTGGGCAACAGAGCAAAACTGCATCTAAAACAAGCAAACAAAAAAAACCCAACAGGATGTGTGATGCATTTGCTAGTGAAATTCTATGGCATATATGTGGAGTCATGGTTCCCTGAGGTGTGTCTAGCCATAGTGCTGAGACATCTTATTTAATGTCTGATGTAGTTTTGAAATATACAGTCAAAAAGAGGTGGGAGTGGGTGGGCAGGGGGCCTTGGTGCACTTCATTAACTCACTCTATCAATGGTCTCAGTTGTTTCCATTGGCTTCTTCTGATACAATTTTTGTAGTGTCTGAATTTTGTATTACATGTTACTTTTGTGGTCAGGGAAAAAGGAATGAAAACTAGGGGTTTGAGGTGGGGAGGCAGGGGAATAAAAAGGATGTTTCCTTAATTTATAAAGAGCCCTTGCAACTCATTAAGAAAAAATAACTCAAAGATGACAGTTATAGCAAATATTTATTGAGCATTTGCCATATTCCAGGAACATGGTATTTTGCATATAATAATGTATTTAATCTTCACACCTATCCTATAAGGTAGGTACCATTATTATCCCCATTTTGCAGATGAGGAAACTGAGACACAGAATGGTTAAGTAACTTGCCCAAAGTCACAGGCTTGTAAGTGGCAGAACTGGGATTGGAATCCTACACTTTTAACCACTACTACCCTGCGTTGCAAGCAAAATAAGAAAAGGGCATGAACCGATGAGGAAATGCAAATGCATTTTAAACTCACAGTAAGATGCCCAATCTCACACAACATATTGTATTTCAGTGATTTGAAGATACACGTTTTTACTTTTTTTTTTTTTTTGGAGACAGAGTCTCACTGTGTCGCTCAGGCTGGAGTGCAGTGGCATGATCTCAGCTCACTGCAACTTCTGCCTCTCGGGTTCAAGCAATTCTCCTGCCTCAGCCTCCCAAGTAGCTGGGACTACAGGCGCCTGCCACCACGCCCAGCTAATTATTATTATTATTATTGTTATTATTTGTATTTTTAGTAGAGACGGGGTTTCGTTATGTTGGCCAGACTGGTCTTGAATTCCTGATCTTGTGATCTGCCCGCCTTGGCCTTCCAAAGTGCTGGGATTATAGGCGTGAGCCACCGCACCCAGCCACATTTTTACATGTGAACATCTCTGAAATCAGGATGCATCTTACAATCAGTGACATCTTAGAATCAGTGAAATACAGTAAGAGAAATGCAAATTAAAACCATCTATCA